TGATTAAGTAGACTAGAAGAGAAAAATAATGACTTATAGTGATAAGTTGGGAAAGCCATATAGACACTTTAATCTGAAGTTACTGCCTCTGTCTCATTATTTAACATGGTAACATTTTCAGAAACAACTAAGAAAATAACTTAAAAGTATAATTGATCCAAATACACAAAGAAAATGCTTCCTAATAGAGAAGTCTGCATGTGTAACATTACAGTATACCTTTTAACTCAAAGTTTGCTAAGTCAGTATAATAATTTTTCTTAATATGCCTTTTTAAAGTCCATTAAATACCTGTCTGAAAACATACTTCGCAAAGTTCTTTATCTTGTTACTTCCTAAAGATCCTGTGCTTATATAAAAGCGAAAATTTCTAAGTTTTGTTATGGATTATACTTGTCCCCCCTTCCACACTCTCTCCCATTTATATGCTGAAACCTTACCCCTCAATGTGATAGTATTAGGAGGTGAGGCCTTTGGGGGGTAATTAGGATTAGACGAGATCATGAGGTGAAACCTGATCTCAGCCTTGTGAGGATACAATGAGGAGGCCATGTGCAACCCAGAAGCTCTCATCAGAACCCAACTAAACTGCCACCCTGATCTTAGACTTCCAGTCTCCACAACTGTGAGAGGAACAAATTTCTGTGGTATATAAGTCACCCAGTGTATGGTACTTTGTAGTAGTCTCAACTAAATAATATCTAACAAACATAAAAGAATATGAAAAAATAATGAATACAAGAAAAGGGTTTTTTTCTAATCTCAAGTCTCCCAATGAATTATTGATTCAAATTGCTGATTTCATTAGACCTTTCACGTAATATTCACTAAATATCAAAAAATGTTGTTTTTTCTTCCCTTGAGGAGTTTATGTTTTTAGGGATAAACAACCGAGAGCCACAGTAAACATAGTCTTCTCAATTTTTTTTTCCACTTCTACCAATTAGCTTATTTAGGGAGGAAAAAAAAGCCCAAATGTTTAAAATCTGCAAAGGAGAGCAAAAGACTGCTTTTTTAAATAAACCAATTAGACACAATTATTTTACTCTCATGTTTGATATTCATGGTGACAGCAATTAAAAAAATAAAGAAAAAAGTCCCTTCAGTTTATGATTCTTAACTACCCTGCTTTTCTTTAGTTTCTAGTGAAGCAAATCCTTGTTTAGGAAATTATCTTAGAATCTAGCTATCATTTATATTAGATTTCCCTTTAAAAATAAACTGACATCTACGATGGCTGGTCTTTAAAGTGTATCTAAAACACTGAAAATTCAAAAGAAACACTGAATGAAAAACTGTTCCAACATAATGTTAAATAAAAAAAGGTTTATAAAACAGTATGTATACTATGATCCCAAGTTTAATTTTTAAAATATGCAAAGAATGGAAAGATATACATTAAAATGTTGGCAGTCACTTTCTGTTTATAAGTTTTCCCATTTTTTTTGTTTTTTGAATTTGCAACAAAGAATTTGCACTACTTTCATATAATCAGGAAAAATATTTATATTAACATCATTGTTTAAGTTATAAAAGAATACACAGCCTGTTACAAAGATATTTTTATAAATGCATGATATTGCAAATTAATGAAATACATCAATCTGATTTCTAAGAAAATAAATTCTGAAGATTTCAACTTTCTCAGAAGGTAGAGAAGTTGTTTCCTAGTACAAGCTCTCACTCTACTGGTGACACAGAGAATATACTTATTCTGACATTTCTGAAGTACAGTTATTGCATTATTTTCCACAAGCACTAGATGGCAGGATTCTCACTAAAAAATTCAGTTTCACCAATTAACACTATATTATATGCCTTTGTTGTCTGTGGTTTCTGTTAATATGCCATCATCTATCATTATATTTATTATATGCCTTTTTTGGACTGTGTCTGTATCAACACAAGGTAATTTTAAATTACAGTTTCACTCATGGCCTTGAGTATTTAACAGTTGATTTATCATATATAAAATTAAATTATCCAACTTACAAATTGAAAGGAATTCAAATATATATATGTGAACATAATATACCTATTTCAAAACTGTGGTTTTAGGGCTGTATTAAGAAATATGCAATCTAAGTCTCTAATCTGACACTATCTCGTATTAAAAATTGAATGAGTAAGAGCAGCTGGCTGGCTCAGTGGGTGGAGCATGAGACTCTTGATCTCAGGGTTGTGAGTTCAAGCCCTACACTGGGTGTACAGATTACTTAAAAAAAAAAAAATCTTAAAGAAAAAATCGAATGACTAATAACACACTGAAAACAGAGGTCCATCAATACCGGTTCTAGTTTAATAAAAAATGCAAAGATCGGGTGCCTGGATGGTGAAGTCGGTTAAGCGTCTTCTGCCTTTGGCTCAGGTCATAATGAGGGGGGCGGGCTCTGGAATCGAGCACTGTGTTGGGACTCCCTGCTCAGTGGGGAGTCTGCTTCTCCCTCTCCCTCTCCCTCTCCCTCTGCCCTTCCCCAGCTCATGCTTGCTCTCTCTCATACTGTCTCTCTCTCTCAAATAAATAAAATCTTTAAAAAAAATGCAAAGGTAATTTTTTAAAAAGATTTATTCATTTATTTTTAGAGAGAGAACGTGCGCACGCTCGAGTGAGTAGGAGGAGGGGCAGACGGAGAGGGAAAGAATGTCCAGCAGACTCCCCGCTCACCACGGAGCCCCCCATTGGGCTCTGGGGCTGGATCCCATGACACTGAGATCATGATCCAAGCCAAAACCAAGAGTCAGATGCTCAACCAACTGAGCCACCTAGGCACCTCAAAATGCAAAGATGATTTTTAATAAATTAGTTAAATGCCCACAGAATTCCAGTTATTTAAGAGAATACTGAAATGATTTTCTCTAACTCCAAATGCTTCTAACATCTATAAGCCTTATGAATTTTGGTGGGGGTAGAAGAGAATCTGCAAGGGAAAGATATTCCAGGAAGAGAAAACAACAAGAGTAAAGTCATGGCATCTCAAAAGTACAGTTTACTCAAGGGATGCCAGGGTTATCATAGGGTGCACTGGAGAAATAGCTGAAGATAAAGCTGGAAAAGTAGGGTAGGATCACTTGGGGAAGGACTGTTCTGCTGTACTTGGGAGTCGACATCATTTTGAAGGCAGTGAGAAAACCACTGAAGACTTTTAAGCAAGGAAGAGCTGTGACTAAGATCTGTTTTCACAGAGGTAACAGTATACAGGATGAATTCGAAGAGTGAAAGTTTGGAGTAGGGGAGAAGAAGGACTGAAATTCACTGGCCAAGGCCTTATAAAGGGCAAAAACACTGAGGGTACAAAGATGAAATATTCCAGTAACACTTCAAAACGCAGGAATGAGTACATTTGGCAAAGGATAAATACAGTGAATAAAGGTTTCAAGCCTTGATAAGTGGATGGAGACTGATGTCTTAAAGACAGGCTAGAGTCTGAATAATTTTAAGTGCAAGATGCTTTCTGATATCCAGGCTGCAAGATCTACTAGCTAGAAACAGGAGAGAAGTGAGCTATAAAGAAATAAAAGGAAAAAAAAATAAGATTATGATTTTTGGTGGTTTATGAAGAGTCTCATATTATCAACATTAGATGCATACCCCTTGTTACCAAGTAATTAATGTCATCGAGCAGCAAGAGTATAAATTTGAATTGAACACAATATCACATAGCAAAATAAATTTTGCAACTGAACGGTACTCATGTAAACTATGGGATGGTATTGCACTGTTGGGTATAATTCAGTCAATTTAGATTATTAGTTACTCATCAACCACTTCTAACACACATATACAAAATTTACTGGCAAGTATATGATTTATGTTTCATATAGAGATTTATTAAGATGTTTAAAATACCCACACACATTTCATCTGAAGTGAAGCCAAAAGTTTTAAAAATAGATTTATAAGACAGAAAAATATGTTTATTAATAATAAGAGCTGGTAATACAATGATTATTAATAAATATCATTAGTATTAAACTTCCTATTTATAGTCTCTCAAATAGATTTTATCTGATCTCTACAAGCTGTCTATGAAGCAAGCTGGAGCTGGTAGTAATAATAGCAACAATAACAACCATAATACTCTGGCAACACACATATCTTAAACTAGAATTTATTTTCTACTCTTCACTTTTCCCCAACCCCTCAGTTTGTAGAACAAACTAGAGTTCTTAAATACTCTTATTTGGAAATTTATAGTATTTAAAACTTGAGCTTTCCTGACATAAATAAACTAGATTAGAATACTGACTACTGAATTTTCTGAAAGTCTTTGAAATACAGAAAATACAGACCAAAGAAATTTAATGTTGTTCCACAATGAAATGTATCTAATTTTGTCTAGACATATAAATTAGGTGCCATAAATACTCGCTAATTATTACACAAAACTAAAATCTAAGGAGAAGTCCAACCCAATTATTAAATTGATATAAATCTGACCATTTATACATGCACGTAGTAAAACTTCCACATTGCTGATATAAATTTAGCCTTCATCAACTGTTTAAATGAAATTCCATCCCAAAAGGATAAATAGCAATCAAAATTTCTTACTTTTTAGACATTTCTTGAATTTCATTTTTTAAAAAACCACTGCATTACCTAGGTAAGGAGTTTAAAATATTCCCCATTCATCTAAAGGCTGAGCCAAACTGAAAACTTTAAGTCATTTATATTTTATAGAGGCAGGGACATCCACACGTTATCTTACATATAAGCAGCCTCTGGGGCACCTGGGTGGCTCAGTTGGTTAAGCGACTGCCTTCGGCTCAGGTCATGATCCTGGGGTCCCGGGATCGAGTCCCACATCGGGCTCCCTGCTCAGCAGGGAGTCTGCTTCTCCCTCTCGTGCTCTCTATCTCTCATTCTCTCTCTCTCTCAAATAAATAAATAAAATCTTAAAAAAAAAAAAAAGAATTTTAAAGCAGCCTCTGGCTCCTATCTGTTTTAGCATTTCAACAGGGTTGGAATGGATTTAAAAAGAACAAACAGGAATACTTACTTGAACTTGGCAGGTGAAAGAGGAGTAGGAGGAAACATTCCTGGTTCAAAAGAGTCAAAATAAGTCACTGTCCAAGAAAAGCTACAGCAGGAGAATCCAGCAGATAGAGATATTATAAGTAGAGTCCAGAATCCTTAATGGGAAGAGAGGAGGAAAACTTAAACACCAAAGCCTTATTTAAATTAAACCAGTATCTTCATGTTCAAAAGATCATGTGTATTTCTGAACTTCTGAATTACATGTAGGTGACATAAGAGATTTGAGCTTAGTACAAGCAAACCCAGACAAAAGTATAAAATACTAAAGCACAATTAGAAGTCATATCATTTAGGGGCGCCTGGGTGGCTCAGTGGTTTAAGCATCTGCCTTCAGCTCAGGTCACGATCCCAGGACCCTGGGATCAAGCCTCACATCTGGCTCCCTGCTCAGTGGGGAGTCTGCCTCTCCTTCTCCATTTGCCTCTCCCCCAGCTCATGCTCTCTCTCTCAAATAAATAAAACCTTTTAATAAAAGAAAAAAGTCATATAACTTAATATCTTAACATTTCAATTATAATAAAATAATTAAAAAGTTATAAATAACATTCTAATAGTTTAATATTTCAATTATTTAATGTTGGAAAAAGAGTACAAATTTAACTTAAGAATATAAGTTATCTTCAGCTTTATAAAATTCAACTATAGGAAAAATGGTTAAAATACTTCACTGTTAAAAAGTCTTGACATTTTTCATTTACTTTGTGAATCACAGCTTGCTATCTTTTATTACCTAGTATTGTGACTCTTTTCTTTCCATACCATGCACTTTTGACATAAGAATTCACTGATAATGAGGAATTCTTAATCTCAGGAAACAAACTGAGGGTTGCTGGAGTGGTGGGGGGTGGGAGGGATGCGGTGGCTGGGTGATAGACATTGGGGAGGGTATGTGCTATGGTGAGCGCTGTGAAGTGTGCAAGACTGTTGAATCACAGATCTGTACCTCTGAAACAAACAATACATTATATGTTAAAAAAAAAAAAGAAAAAGAAGATAGCAGGAGGGGAAGAATGAAGGGGGGAAAATCGGAGGAAGAGACGAACCATGAGAGACGATGGACTCTGAAAAACAAACTGAGGGTTCTAGAGGGGAGGGGTGGGGGAATGGGTTAGCCTGGTGATGGGTATTAAAGAGGGCACATTCTGCGTGGAGCACTGGGTGCTATGCACAAACAATGAATCATGGAACACTACATCAAAAACTAATGATGTAATGTATGGTGATTAACATAACAATAAAAAAGGGTAAAAAAAACAGTGTCTACTCTTTATAGCTTTCCTATAAACATTATAAACCTAATCTGATTCTTCAATTTTCCTCAGTATATGAACAAAAGTTAACTCCCAATTTACAAATGGGTTGGGACCTAGGTTTTAGTTTCAGTCAGAGTGGAAGACTGCAAGATTTTCTCAAAGAAATGTTAAGTCAAAAGCATAGTATTATATTGGACTCAAGGAAGGGGTAAAAGATTGAGAAACGGAAGAAAGGGAAATGAAAAAAGTGAGAACAGAGGGAATAAATTAATTTGACCGTTTTTATATATATATTCAAACTGCCTCCTTAAGAGAGTTTACTAAGTGTGTGTCATAGGCCTCAGTAGTACCGGGAGGGAGGAAAGGTTGAGAAGACTACAGTTGAGAATGACTTATGAATTACCAATTTCCTGGCTGCACAAATGTGCAACCAAGATGCCTTTTAGCAAGAAGTAGTTAAGAAATATGTGCCTAAGTCTGTTTGTAAACCATACAAAGCCCAGTAATAGAATAATAGCTAAAAGACAAACTTAGAGCAATGAAGTATTAAGAACTGTGACAATGTATTTTTTGAAAGATTAACCTTAATTTTTTCTCACTAGTTCCCTTTCCTTTACCCCCTTTTCAATAGATAATGGACTGTGTATTCACTGCTCCAGAAGGATGTGAGAAAGAAAAATAGCGCCAGTGTCTCTTTGGTTTTTATGTTGCAAAATGATTAAGGGAACTAGGATATAAGCAAGAGGAGGGTAGACCAACACAAAATATCTTGAACAGACAGGAAAGATAATGAGTTGACTGGGATACAGACAAAATGTTTGTGTAGAACAAGGAGAAAGAAAGCGAGGGCTTAATGCACAGGTGAGAAAGATTTCTCCTTGTTTGAAGAAAGTGGTGTGTCTGTTTGCCCTTATGTGTATACATATATATGGAGAAGCGGGGTTAGTACTGCTGGGGCTTCCTGGCAGAGCCATGGAGAGGCCACAGAGTACAGAGGGATTATAGCTATATACAGTATCTTGACGGATGGGCCCAGAGCCAGGTCTACAGATGTCTCTCCCCTAAGTGGGGCATAGAAAGAGCAGATGGTGATGTGGCTATAAAAGCACGACATCTGAAAGGCCATTCTGGCCAGAAAGCAAGATGTTTCAGCAGTAACTCATTTGAGCAAATGTTTTGAGGACTAGATTGCACCCCACCCCAATGTCCTGGCAGTGTCAGACTTTAGAACCTTAACCCAACCTCGGACTAGGTAGAGAGAACCTTAGCAGAGACTGAGGTACAACCTTCCTGCCAACACAGTGAGATAGGGGACCAAAATAAAAATTATAAGCGTACTTAATGTACAGCCACAACTTAAGGATGGTTATTCTGCCAAATAGCTATTACTTATTATTTAGATGAATACTGCTAAAGGGGAGAAAATAATTGACAAGTTTACACTAAGTTTAATATCGTATAATATATAAAGTCTGCAGAACAAAGAGAGTAATTATGAAAAATCAATTATCTGTTTGGGGACTATTGTGGAATGATGGAAACTTCTAAATATCTAAAAAAAAAAGTGAGAAAGACACAAAATAACACATTAAAAAAGTAATAAAGTCTGAGGCTCTCTAAAGCCCATCAAGCTTTTCCATTCAGGGTCTTTAACAGAATACCTGTCAAAATTAATACAAGAATATCCTTTGAGTTTTCAAAACTGACCACTATTCCACAATCTAAGTATTTGTCTCATTTCGGGCTTTTTTATTTTATATTTACTTTGAACTGATCAACAATTACACCACTGATAAAAGTCAATTCACAATGAAAGGTCTAAAAAAGTACAATGTAATATCATGGTCTAAAAGTGCTTATGCTTCAGAAAGTAACTCAATTTGTTTGTGAACAAGCAGAAAAGCCATACTAGCTGGCAACTAGCAACAACAAAATCCGTAACAAGTCCCTTCCTCCAGAATCCTGAAGCTAAAAACTTGACAATTAATGTTATGTAACCGCATTTTACCAAGAGTTAACATAATTTGTAAACAGTACAAAAGCATATAAAAGTTAAAAGTCTTCCTACCTCAATTCAGCAATTCCACTCCTAAAAGCAATCAGCTAAGTTCGTTGTGCACCTTTCCTAAAAATTATAGTTACCTAGGTAACGTAGGTGTATATATATATACATATATATATATGTATATATATATATTCCATTTTCCACAAATGGAATTCTCACCAGAAAAACTGTCCTGTGCTTTACTTTTCTTACATAACAAGGTTTGAGACCTTTCTTATCAGTACACATAGCCACAATTCTATTGAATATTTTTATGATTCCACCATTTTTTTAAGATTTATTTATTCATTTGATAGAGGGAGAGAAAATAGGGAGAAAGAATTTAGGACATAGAAAAGATCACTAAAATCTCAATGTATCTTAGATTTATAAAAGGATCCAACAGACCAATATTTCAAGATTAAATAAGCTTTATTGCATCAAAAACATAACTCAGCTTTAGTCTCTGGAAAATGCCCCAAGAAAGAATAAAAGTCACAAAATATCCACTTTTACAAATAGTATTGTTCAAGAGAATTGAAAACTGGGTCCACTAGACCTTGCATTATATTGAGCATTAAAGCATGAAGCCAATTAAGTGACTTTAACTTTGAGTAGTTAAGGATAGGCTCTGAGATCTTGTAATTTCGAAAAAAAAAAATCTGCAGGGTTTTCTTGTTGTTGATTACACCTGAACTACGAGCATCAGCATCACCTAGAAACTTATTAAAAATGCAGAATTCCTGGGCTCCATCCCACACCTAGTGAATCACAAACTCTAGAACAGGTGAAGTCTAGTAAAATAAGTTTTAAGTCTTCCAGCTAATTCTAATGCCAGCTAAAGTTTCACTTCATTAGCCTAAGAAACATCCCCCCAGATCACCAGTTTCTTGAGATTTACAGCTCCCAATGTGTGCTTCTCATTACTGCTTCTATGTAGTAGGGAGACCTGCAATGATTTTTATGACTAATAATTTGGCTGCACAATGGTAATTCTTGCTAATAACCCATACTGTTTCTCCCTTACTATTGTACCTAAACTATCTTGTGACATAAAAATTCTAATATACATTGTTGTGAATTTTGGTTCAGAAGATAATTTATATGGATGAATGCAGGATGGTTGGTAATATTAGGTAAAATAACACACGTAAAAAATTAATAAAGTTTGCATATTGTAAAGGTTAAAATTATTAATTGCTGAATGTGTTACTTATATTTTTCTAAACTTAAATTTGTGCTTTCCTTTAAACAAAGTTTTTCTTACTGAGAGTTACAGTCATTCATTATAGAAAATAGAGAATAATAAGATCTAAAACCCAGGTAAATTATCTAAAATTTTGGTTGCATCCTTCCAGTCCTTTTGGGCTTTCATTTTTCTCTTCTTTCTTGCCTTAGTCATCATTCTTTAACTAATACGAATAAGCAATTTTACAAACACCGCCACAGAATAGGATAACGTATTTATGAAATTTTCCATGAAATATTTGAGTTACCCCACCCAGCTTCAGAGAGCACTATATCATATCCTTAATACACAGTGGCCTCAAATTACAACATTCATACATTCACTGAAAATAGTTCAAGTTCACAGTTTCAGTCATTTTTCACTAAGGAAGAAACTGAGTGGTTGTTTTCAACCTGTGCCTTTCCAAGAGAATGGGTACTTTTCACCACACCCTTTCTCTTGGAAATTTTTACCAAGTTTCTAACGTTCTGTATCATGAAATTATGACGACAGAGTCTCACTTATCTTTTGGCAGAGTAAATAACTGATAAACTCTTCAAATGAGTTGGCTTCATCTTTGATTAAACTCAGTAGATATCAATCATCTCTGTAAATGTTCAGAAGCCTGCAAACATCTCAATCATAAAGCAGAACTACATGGGCAGTTAAAAAAACAACAGCCCTTGACAATGCAAGATGCTAGATATCTGGTCTTATCCACAAGAGGGACTTAATGTTAACTATTAACTAGTAGATGTCAAAGAATGACAAGTACCAAAAATCAAAAGGTTTTCAGACTGAAGGAACTCCATGAAGTTGATTACGATTCCTATATGGCATACTTACCACATGTATATTAAGAGTACTAGTCCTACATTTAATTTAATGACAGTAGTCTTAGATTAAGCATTTTCTGGTAACAGCAAATCCTTCTATTTTTCTTATGTGCTTATTTCAGGTTTGCCTCAAATAAAAGGTCTTTTATCACACCCTGTAGTAAGACTATGAAAAAAATGCAAAAATTGGAAATAGAACGAAGTGTGCGAAAAGTTATAAAACTTGGAAAATGTGAGATACAAAAGTCAATGTACAAAAATGAAACAATTCATATGTTGTATATTAGTGCAATTTGGTCTGAGAATAACCTTTAGCAGGAAGGACTAAAAGGCGATTTTAAAACTTAAGTTTTATTTATCTCCCTGAAAAACAGGCTTACAGTAGGGGATGGTTTATAGGACAATTATAAAAGGAAAGCCCTTCCAATGCCACCTAGGGAAGATTAGGGGAGATGAGTTCCAAAACCAGGTGACAGCATCTCTCACACCTCCCTGGCTGGTCTACCTCACCAATAAAGATGAACACCGATACCTAATCCTATTAGCCATTAGGATCAATTAACTCCCCAAATGCACTGATACCATACTCATCATGAACCTTTTTTGTTTGAATTATAAACAATTTCCCATGAAGACTTCTTTTAGGCAAAGATGACAAGTGAATGGCAGTGTCGCAGACCCTTTCAAAGTTAGGTTTCTTAAAAGACATTTGTGCTTATACGTTATATCTTATTAGTCTGTCACTAGTCAACTTGCAAGAATTTTAAATGCTCTTAAACACACTTTTTAGGTGCCCCTGGCTGGTTCAGTCAGTAGAATGTGCGACTCTTGATCTTGTGGTCCTAAGTTTGAGCCCCATGTTGAGTACAGAGATAACTTAAAAATAAAATCTTCAAAAACAAAAAAAACTACACTTTTAAAAAATGAGATGCTCACCCTGTAAAAAGTATTTCTTAAACTATGGGGCATCAAAATCACCTGTAAAAAATGAAGATTCTTGGAATCTACCCTGGGCTGAAAGGAAACCTAGAAGTACTTTTTAAAAAGAAAGTCCAGGTGATTCTTAAGCATACTAAAGCGAGAGCTGCTGCTAAAATCTGCTCTAAATGAGCTATACCAATCTTGGACGAGGCTTAAATTGCAATAAAAAATCTGCAGTGTGCAAAATTTTATTAATCTGTCTAGAAAGAGAACTCTTTGATGGGAGAAGTTACTATGCTTACATTATTTGATTCTAAAAACCAGCTGATTCTCAAAGAATTGAGGAAATTTATAATAAAATTTAAACAGGAATCACTGAAATATAAAGATAACAATGAGTATGGACAATAATAATTACAGCAAAAAAAAGGGTAATACACAAAACAATCAAACATTATACTTACCCATGAGGTACCTAGCAAACAAGGCAAAATAAATGCAATGAAATACAAAATCAGTAGGATTTAAAAAGGCTGCATTCTGCTTTTCCTGTAAATAGTGGACAAATTCAACACAGTTTTTATTAAAGATTGTTTCGTCGTGTGCAAACTTTTATATCAATTATAAACAGGTAAGGATATAATTCCACAGGCATTACTTCATGGATAAGCTAATGCAGCAATCCTTCTTCATATATAAGTTAACTCAAGGTTGATTTGAATGCAAGTCAAAATTTGAAAAAAACTGGCCTATTTTCAACAATCAGCTGTCTCTCAATTGGACTTTTTTTTTTTTTTTAAAGATTTTATTTATTTATTTGACAGAGAGAGAGAGAGACACAGAGAGAGCAGGAACACAAGCAGGGGGGAGTGGGAGAGGGAGAAACAGGCTTCCCGCTGAGCAGGGAGCCCGATGTGGGGCTCGAACCTAGGACCCTGGGATCATGACCTGAGCTGAAGGCAGACGCTTAACGACTAAGCCACCCACGCGCCCCTCTCTCAATTGGACTTTTAACTGGAGGCTAGTAGTCAAGTCAAAACATTCTTCTGTAAAGAGGTTATGTTGTATTTTTCTCCCAACGGAAGAGAATTCCAGCTTAGAACAATGTAAGGGCAGGTGTTATTTCAATAACCTCAACTTTATAGGAGCTTACTCATATTGGCACTGCTTCTCTGAGACAGGTTAAGAACTCTATACTCTTGCTATAAAACAGCATTTTCTATTACATGTTATAATGAATATTTGCTGTAAATATAACTATGCCCACTTTAGAGTTATCCCTGGGAAATTGAATTAATCCACTAGATGTTGAGTATACTCTTTGACCACTAAAGCACTGGTTCAATATAAGGATTTTTGTTTTGGCATAACTACTGTTTAGTACGGTTTTTTTGTACTGTACAAAGATACAGCAATTTCTCCTCACTCCTGAGATTGTTCCTAAATCTTGAAAGTGAATTCATGCCATTAGCAAACACTGAACGATCTTCATATTTGCTGTCATAGTATTAGGTATCTATCAGGCACATCCAAAAAAGTGGAAAAAGAAGCAGGGCAATCACAAAGCCTTATTATATTCCTTTTGATACTGTACAAGCCGTTCCTTCAGATAACAAGTGCCACCTATGCTTTTCATAAATGTGAATGAAGTTTGCCAACTTTTAAATACCAACATAGAATTCATGCCTAGTTCTTAAGATTCTATTCTATTCTTGTGGCATCAAGTTGACAGATCAATAAATGCTATGAAAAGCCTCATAATCTTGGCTGTTTTTAGAGACAGAACAGTGTAACAATACACACTGATAAAACATGTAACTCTAAAGTACACTTTCTCATGCAAGAAGTTGAGAAGACCATAGAAAAGTTTTCATGGGACATCTAACAAATTAATTTGTTTCTATAATTTGAAGATAAAGATATCCCCTTCTGTAAAACCAGTCGGACTGTATTTTGTATCACTGTGAGGGCAATAGCCTTGAAGAGGTAGATTAAATAGGTCAGCTAAAATTGGGAGAGGGGGTGACATGCAGGATACGATCTCAACCATTTTTTTTTTTCCAATTCAGAATGATTAATCAAATAAATTACAGCAAACAGGAGTAAAATAGCTCAAACAGGTGAAGTTCTGGACGCTTCAAAATCATTTTGGCAGAAAGAAATAAATACGAGAGAGAGCACAAGCAGGGGGAGCAGCAGGGAGAGGGAGAAGCAGGGACCCTGAGCTGAAAGCAGACGCTTAAGAACTGAGCCATCCAGGCGCCCCTCTGTATAGCATTCTATAGATATTCTATAGAAACTCAAGTCTGACTCTTAAGTCATCATTAACCTGTGCAAGTATGCCCAATACTTTTTACTTTTTTAAAAACAAGTTGCTTATAAGGAGATATAAACCTAAATTTCTCCTGAGGTCTGCTTAAGATGTCATCTTTGCTACGATCATGAGGAATTTTTTTTTTTTTGTATGTTTTTAATTCCTGGGAAAAAGTATAGGAAGACTTTTCCAGAAAGTAACTAGAAAATGTTAAATAGTCTCTGGGTCTTTGTCACACACAGTTGTGTTCAAATTGTATTTCTAGTGTGTGTGTATACACCACTATATACTATACACCAAGTATATATAAAAAAAAATCTAGTAAAATTTACCACACACAAACACAAATAATTAAGACTGAATGAATTGCACAAGGGATTATATTATTTTACCCAAAATTTTGTAGTTTAAACATGATCTCAAAAAATAAAAATGAACTCAAAAGCAAATCAATTGAGTTAAGTTTATACCTAGTAGCCCAGTGTCTATGTCCTCTTCAGTCTTTAAATTCTCAGCATGTAACTCTGTAAATACAAAAAAAAAGGGGCTTGAGTAAAAAGGATGATTTTACAATTTGAATGGTAGCTCAAAGGCTGGGAAAATATTGTGGAGTTGTGGAAAGTGCTATGGAGTCAGAAACAAATGGGTCCAAATTCTGATTCCCATTTACTAGCTATGGGACCTTCGGTATGCAAAAAAAGCACGTATGAGTCAACTGCCAAATATACACAAAGTTTCTTAAGAGTTATTGTGAAAATATTTTAAGTTTATTTATTTAATCTCTACACCCGGTGTGGGGCTCAAACTCAAAACCTCAAATCACATGCTCTTCCCAGGACTGTCAGCCAGGTGCTCCTGAAAATATATTATGTAATGCAAATTACACAGCCTATTAGGTTCCTTTCTTCCATTCTCAAAAAGTAAGCACAACTCAGTGTCTTCTGCAATGGATTCCACTTACCAAGTTTTGTGACTTAATGATAAAAAGGAAATCTCTCACAGCACAAGGGAAATAACCTACTAAATTCTCTCCAAGATACAGTGAAAAAAAGAGGAGGAGAGTGAAAGAGGAAAGGAACACTGACACCCATATATTTAACATTGACAGGTGATACCCAGGATCATTGTATAAAGAGGTTCACATTAACTTGCCAACTTGTCTTGTGTATGAAAATCAAGCCTAAGTTGTTAGCTGCCATCTGCGACCCAGTAGGAGCTTGGAAGCAATGAGGAAAAATTAAAACTGGAGCTAAGCTGATTTAATTCTACTTAGTGAAGTAAAACTAACACTTGAGTGGCAACCTGTTGGGTGCTTCTCATAGAACTAAAGTAGTTTTTGTTTTAATTTTTCTTTGTCAATAACTTGGCCAAAGTCACACACGAATGAGAACTGAGATTTAAACTCCAGTCTGATTCTTTCCACTGTAATATAAATATCCACCCATATAGTTTACAGTATAACCTTTGAAAAATCTTTCATGGCACATCTCTTTCTATTCCAATCTGGCTGATTATAAACATCACACTCAATAAAACTAATAATCAGAGAAATAATAGGTTATCTAGCTTCTCTTATAAAACTTTATCACTACACTCGGTTTAAAACCTAATACAAAATCAAGAGGAGCTAATTATCTTATCTATATAAGAACTTTAGGCTGTGGGATGGAAATCCTTTCTGGAATTCTGTGCGTGTACAAAGGAATCTGGCTAGCAAACCTTTAACCATTTGTGGATTAAATAAAGTCTTTGAATATGTATAGCCTATTTTAATCGCACACACTTTTCACCCGCCTTTAATGATTGTTGTCTACATATTGCTTAATTTTGCCAACATTTCACCCCAAGTGTTCACTGACTCTATTGTTTCTTCAAGAGTACCCATTTAATCAAGACGCTTTCTTAAGGGTCTCCTAAGCTTGGACCAGGGTCCTCCACCATTCAGAAAACAAAACAAAGGAGATGAGCAAAGAAAGGTGCCAATGAGGACTCTGGGTGAAAGCCACTACCAACTTGCCGGCCTTTGATGGGGAGGAGAGAGATGAAAGGCAAGAGCCACGTCCAGGCTTAACTTTACTCTGGACAGACTTTCAAGGCCGGAGCTTCAGTACCTTTTACGATCAGGTAGGCGATGGCGAGGAGGAAGGCGAGGAGGATGGCGAACAGCAGCGAACAAAGAATTGAGAGGACCTGGACCGGCCACCGCCGAGCTTGGGCTCGGCCGCCCGCAACCACCGAGAAAATGCCATTGCGTTTATCGGGGAGAACTGGAGACCCGTCCCCGTCCCGCTGGAACAGAGAGCCCTTTCTAGGCTCCGACGACGCCCCGGCCGAGAACTCCGCCCGCAGATCACGGGCCACTTGGTCGCATCCGTCCTCCTCGTCCACTTCACCCTCACCCCAACTATCCCCCTGAGCGAAGGCGGAAAACGGAGGCCGGGAAAACGTGACAGGGGTGTCGAGACGTCGGCGCAGACCAGCCGAGCGCCTGCCGCTCTCCACGAACGACATGGCGGGAAAGACAAGAGGGCCAGCGGAGGTCGAGAGAATCCCACCCGCCCCGCCCCGCCCTCGCAGTAGCCAATCAGCGGCCAGGCCCCCCCACAGCCTCCACCACCCGGGGTTGGCGCGCAGGGGTGCGCAGAGGTGTGCAACTGGGCGGGGAAGGTGCAGTGGGATCTAAAGAAAGGTTGGGCGCCCGTGGGCCAGAGCACTACCCCAGCTCAATAGGAAGGAAAGGAAGCAGAGAGGTGCACAAAAAGAGGCGAGCCGAGGCCAAAGGTAGCCAAGTCTCCTCTCCCCGCAGTGCTTCGTCCCGGCCAGAGACCTCCGCCACGGCCGCGTCACCTCCAGGCAAGCGCGCGCCCCGGCAGCCCCAAAGCCGCATCTTTTCGACGCCTGGTCCTAGCGCCCGCCCATACCCCTCTGATTGACATTTCCGAACCGATTTGCTTTCTCCCTTCTTCCGCTATACGGTCCTACTCCTCTCCGGCCCCGTTCTCCCCTCGCCTTAACTGCCCTTCCCTCTTTTCCTTTCGCATTGTTCCCCCCGCCCCTATCACAACTTCCCTCCACGCTATTCGACACGCCTCCTTCCCTCCCCCCTCCGCGGGCTCTCCAGCTGGTGCGTACGGAGCTCGAACCCTCTCCTAAGGAGCCCTCCTCCTCTCCTGTTCCCCGCCCCCTCTCCTCCTCTTCGAGCGCCGCGCGCGCGCCTGGCCCCGGCCACCGCTAACGCTAGAAGCTGCTAACCCCACCCCCACCCCACCCTATCCTACCCCGGGCAGCCTCAGGTTTGTGGGGCGTACGTAACTCGGGCGGAGGGAGTAAAGGTGGCAGGCCCCAACTGCCCCACCCCCTACGGGGTGAGGTGGTCTAAGCTTGGGAAGCTGGGACACGGTTGTCTTCCCTTCCCCGGGGAAAGTTGGTGGAGTTTTCCCGGCGGAGGTGCAGAAACTTCCTCCGTCCCCCAACCCCCCCCCTCCATGCAGGCGACGCCGAGTGAGGCTGAGGCTGGTGGCGAATCGCTGCAGAGCTGCGTGTCGGCCGCGCACTCTGATTGGACAGTGGGGAAGCCTGTCAGCTTATTGGCCCCGCTGATCCCGCCCCGTAGCGCAGGGCAGCCTTTAACCTTTGGCCCCAGCGGGCGCCAGCCACTCAGATCGCTTCTTGTTGGTATGTGTAGCGGCAGTGGCCGCCGGCGGAGCAGTCTGAGCCCGACGATGAGGCCGGGGACGGGAGCGGAGCGTGGAGGCCTCATGGTGAGTGAAATGGAGAGCCATCCTCCTTCGCGGGGTCCCGGGGACGGGGAGCGGAGATTGTCCGGCTCAAGCCTCTGCTCCAGCTCTTGGGTCTCTGCTGACGGCTTCCTGAGGAGACGGCCCTCGGTAAGGGATCGGTGGAGCAGGGGGAAAGCGGCACAATGAAAAACGAAGTCAGAGAGGCAGGAAGCTTTTTCCAAAAGGAGAAGAAGATAAGAGTGGACGAAGAAAGAGCTCGAGATGGTGGGCTACGTAACGAGGAAGAGAAATGGAGAGCGGGGATGCACAAAGGGAAGGTTGTGGGTCCTTGGAAGTTCTTACTGGGCTTGGCCTAGACAGATGCGCGGTGGAGGTGCTGGGCCTTGGGCGGGGTGAGCGTTTTGGAGAGGTAGGCCCGCTGTAGCAGGGAGGGGGGACGCGGAACCTTGATTATGTAGACTTCGAAAGAGGCTGCCAAAATCTGTTTTCACCAGTAGTAGTGGTGTCTGCAAGGGGTACAAGCTGGGAAGATTGGCAGGGGCTAATTACCTGGTTTTAAGACCTGGAACAATGGGCACACAGGTAAATAAATAGTTGTCTTTTAAAAGAGAATTAAAATGGATGTATTAGTCATTTGTATTTAGGGTCTGTGAGTGATAGACCTTAGTCTGAATTTTTTTTTTTTTGGCAGAAGTAATTTTACTTGTGTTGAAGATTTTATTAGGAAATAATATGTATATGTGTTAGGAATTAAGTGTCCCTGGGTACCCATATTGTTTGTGTTCTGTTAAGACAAGGTCTTATCTGAATTAATATGGTAAATTCTCCTTTCAAAGTTTAAAATTAACTTAAAAACAAATTTAAGAATAGTTACTGTTAAGACATTAACTAGCTATCTTCTGTGTGAAATAGAACAAAGTTGTGGTGTTTCACCCATAACAGTTTTTAAATTGGCTTTCACATACGTGTTCCCCAAGTTTAGTAAGCTAATTAGTAACTGATTAAAGCAGGCTGCTTTAAAAAATAATCTATACTCTAGCTGTCCAGTAATTACTTTAATTTTTCCCATTTCGTTCTGTAATTTGGTCAGTTGCAAACTCATTATAAATACTGGTGGGTGGTGCATTTTAAGATAAGAAAGTATAAGCTAAGCCAATAATTGAATCACACATTAGTCTAATATTAAGCCACTGCGCATAACCGATTTGTGGAAATCAGATTTTTGAGAAGCACTTGTTCTTAACTTGCTAATTTTTAAATTGTCCCTATTTTTCAGATGGGGCACCCTGGCATGCATTATGCCCCAATGGGAATGCACCCTATGGGTCAGAGAGCGAATATGCCTCCTGTACCTCATGGAATGATGCCGCAAATGATGCCCCCTATGGGAGGGCCGCCAATGGGACAAGTAAGAATGTTTTTGTTTTATTTTGTATTTGTTTGTTTATTTTTGCCTGTGGTATCATTGTGTCAAGATTTAAAGACCTGGGTCGTTATTTGCAGCTGTTTAAGGATTAGTTTATGTCAAAATAATATTGTCAAATAAGTCAAATGTTGAGTCATGACACTAATCAAATTTTGAATGTAGGGAAAAGCCTTCTGTATGAAAGATTTATTTTCTACCACAATGAAACTAAGAGTTCTTTTTTCAAGTAACTGTATATGTAGTCTTTTTAGTTTAATAACTTTCTTTTTCCAAGTATGTCAATTGAAGTTAAGGTTTGGAGAGTGAATATTATTATATAGGTCAACATAACTTATGTCCGTGGACCACATAAATGCATAGAATCTGAAAATAACAGTTGCTTAGGTCTTTGCCTTAGAATAAAGTTTATTCCTGAAATAGCTTCTTCTTGTGTATGTGTGTGTATGCGTGCGCGGTGGGGGTAGAGTAGGGAGATTCTACTCTAATTTGATTCTTCATAGGACAGTGCCAAATAGGTGGTTCATTTTCCACTTACACTATTTTGTTTCTGTTTTGTTTTAAATGCTTATTGCTTCTGCACTCCTGCTCTTGAGCTGTCCCTTTCATCCCCCAGCATAAATTGTAAATGGACATTTGGTGGGAGTGATTTAGATCAAAAGGTTTTAATGCTGACTCAGTGAATTCAGTAGAACTGAGTTCCTAGAGAAGCATCCAAGAAAGGTAACAGGTTCAGTTACCATGAATAATTTTAAGCCCCGTGTCAGGTTCTGTAATACACATATTCTTTGGTGGCTGAGTTCTTTCCATTTGAGTATCTCAATAAATCATCCAAAATTTAGGCTGATAAAATATATTGGAAAGCCAGTCAATTAGGTATGGTCTTTTTGCTAATTAATACTGTTTATGTTGATAATCACTTAAGCCTTGATATTTTTTAAGTTATTGGTGAAATTGTAGTGGAGAAAGGAGCTTGCTTTGTGTCTTTTTCTTTTAACTTAACCTTAGGAGTAGAAGGGCTTAATGTCAAGTGATTTTCTTCTTTTTTATTTGTAATGTAGCCCTTAATTTTTTATAAAAATCTTTATTCAAAGACGCAGGCCCAAAAGATTTCTGCCTGTAGGAGTTTTGGGGTTTTTTTTGTTTGTTTGTTTGTTTTGTTTTTTTAAAAAGAACCATTTATTCTGTTGTTTAGAATAACACAAGTTTTAAAACTCCCTTAGGTGATGGAGAAACAACTCGGATTCTTCTTCTGTTTCTTTCCATCTCTAAGCAGCAAGGAGCTCTTCTGGTTTTCTTAGTAGAGCTGCTCTAACTAGATAATGAGCTTTAAAAAATATTTATTCTTTAAATGCTCTGGTTCTTATTTAAAATTAGTTTCTTTCCACAGAAAGATAAAATAAAACAATTTGCTACTGCCAGATGCTTCTCTCTTTTCTGGGGCCTTCTGTTTCCATTGGGCCAATCAAGGTAAGTTTTGCAAGGGATTGACCTGCTTACCCTTGCTGTAATGGTGCTATTGCACTACCAAACCAAGACACCAGCTAGTCATTTCTAGTAAAATGCAGATTTTACTTACTTATTTTTTTAAAGTACTTTCGTGTTTCACATTGACATAAGCTGGTCACAGTTTGCTTTATGGCCCTTTCTCTTTAACTGTATCAGTGACCATCTTCCTAGTAAGGTGACTTGCTATTTGGTACACATCTGTTGAAATACTCTGAATTTTACCTTGTGGTTTTCTTCTTTTTTCCTAGACCAGTATATGCCATGTACCTTTAAGTGTACCTGACTCTTTAGATGTTTAAAAGTCTCTCTCTCCCTATTGGCTCCTATTAGGATAATGGACAAATGATTTAAGAATCCAGCTCTAGGGTCCCAAGAGAATCCTCATTGTTTTTCCTTAAAATTAGATTGTTTCTTTTTTTCTTTTTAATAACTAACTTATATGGGGCCCAAATCTTGGTAAAACCAATTCTTATTTGAGCTTTGGTAACAGACTGGGAGGGCATGGATAATTAAACATACTAAGTAATCTAGAAATCTAATTTAAAGCCCTGTAAACAACTTGCTTAAAAATAAAAGTTGACAATTAGCAAAATTGATCTTTTTTCTTTCTACCCACTCTGAGGTATTAATGGTCAGAAGTTAATGAGAAACAGCAGGTTGCCTATATAGTTCACTGTAGTGACACAAAGTTGGTAGGGTTCTGCCATTCAATTTTTAAAAATCAGTTTATGGATTTTTTAGACTTTGGTACTGAAGGTTATGGAACCTTCATGTATATTGCCTAGTTCACATTAATATCTCATTCTGGGACCAGCTGAAAATGAAAATTAGTGCCAGTCTTACTTGTTAAGTGATTCTGGTCTTTGGAATGTTACTGAACATGACATGAAATTTTAAAACTTGTTTGTAAAATAATATGCAGACTGGACACAATAACCACATACAGAAGCCAGAAGTTAGAATTTTTCAGATGCATCAAGTTATTTAGGTTAAAAGAGTATTATGGTTTTATGGAAGAGTTTTTTGTTTTTATTCAGGAGATAATCTACTGTGCCCTTTTTAGAATTCAGGCTGAGTCTGTTACTACTGAAAAATAGATTTCAAGTTTATCTCAGTTATCTATTGTATAGGTTACATTTGCCTCTTACTATATGTTCATACAGGAAAGTTGTCCTACTTTTACAGGATTATAGAATCTTATATCTGGAAGGGACCTTGAAATCTGTATAAACTTTAAAACGGAAATTAAATAATGGTTTATCACTGGTTAAAAAACATTATTAATAAAGTAATTTCCCTGCTTGGTGGCAGTACTCAAAAATTTGCAGTAGAGATTTGCCTTGAGATGTGATTGTATGTGAGGCCATTTTTTACTTATTAATGTTTTGCTTTTAAAAGGTTTTCACATCTTACTCATTTTTGTTGTTGTTTCTACACAAAGGACATGCAAGTCCTACCTTTATCACAGGTAATTTTGCCTTCACTGAAAGCCTAAGAGAGCCCTCCTACGTGGCTCTTTCTTTTTTAAATTTTTAATTTTTCTTTTAATGAGAAAAGTAGAGTAAAAGACTTAAGGTCTCTTTCAGCTCTAACAACCTACGGTTCAATTCAGATCATTTGATAAGAATAGGTTATATGTATGAGATTTTATGAGTTGATATGGACATAAAAACAAAATTCTTTTAGTAATGCCTCCCTGATTCTAATCATTCAGTACTTTTTTTTTTTTGCCTTTGTTCAATAAATTGATAAATGAATGCTTTTCACAAATGATTTTGATTTTCTTGTTCTTACAATGAGTGAGGCAGGCTTTAACAGATCTTGAGTCTATTTCTGCTGCCATCTGGACCCAAGTAGTTACACTCCCATGCCCCGGATACTCTTTAACAACTTTTGAGCTGGTTTTCTTGCTTCAGGCCTGCCCCCTCAAATTCTTTTAGATTTCAACGTGTTGTCTCCTTGCCCAAGAACCTCCAGTGTTTTTCTGTTACCTATGGTATAATGTGTAAATTCCACAATTTAATTTTCAAGAATCTCCCAGAGTACAACTCAATGCATGATTCTGAGCTGCATGTCTTCACACTCCCTAATTTGAACCCAGGCTGATCTTTTTATGATATCTGGACTGATTGTATTAGTTCATGACTGAGCTTGTGCTGTTCATGCTCTCCTGCCCACAGCTCACTACCACCATGAACTTAACTTTACTTAACCTCAGTTCTTCCATTTCAAGTTCTGCCTTCTCCCGGAGATCAGTATACTTTGCCCAGCATACACCATCCCTTCAAATTATTAAAGTAAAATCCTGTGAAATCTGCCTGTAACTCTGTTTCACTTATTTGGGATTCAGTTTTGATTTGTTTTGTTTTATGGTATATTTGCTCTGTCTTTCCAGCACGTAATAGACTGTAAGCTCTTAGAGGGCAGGGCTTGTGTTTTGTACCTTTTTAAGAAGTCCACAGGTGCTGAGCACAGTTCTTGGCACAGCATGGGTGCTCAGTAAAATACTTGTTGAATGAATGAAACAAAAACATTATTCTTTCCTATATTATAGGCCATGGAGATAGTAGATGTTACGTCTGACTATTCCAGTGGTTACTTGTGACTTTATACTGTTACAACTTTGTTCTTATTTTTAGTGTTTGCCTCTCTATAGTTGTTTTTTCATTTGATAAAAATGGAAGGTAAATGTAATGGTTTTTGGTGGATAAAGCAAAAATACATATTTCCATTTATTTTAAATTACAGGCAAATGTATTTCTATCTGTCTGACTTTAGTGATGGTCTTTTTAAGTTTTACCACGAAGTTTTCCATACCCTCGGGGGAAATGATGATTTGGAATATAGGCCTTCCAGAGAAATCCAAAGTGTTGGTATCTTAGATTTATCTGACTGACTGATTTGACCAATTGATTTGTTCCTGTTGCTTTTCAATTACCATTATTTTGGGTATTTACAGAATCCATGCTGTTGAATTGGTCATTAGTAAGTGACAAAAAGGCTTTTTCCCCACTTAGGTTATTTGCTCATAGTTTTTGAATTTCTAACTTTGTATATGCATTTACATTATCCAGGCAAGTACTTATTAAAAAATAGATTGACCCAGACCTAATGTGTTTGTATAACTTCTAGGCTGTGTATGTAGTTCGATTTTGATAGATTTACAGATGATACTATTTTCTTTTTAGATAGCATTTCAATGAAATATGAACTCATCTATTTAAAAACTTTAGCTAGAGTGGTGTTTCTGAGTATGGAGAGTATTTGGAGAAATCTAAGAAGACAGTGTAAGTGTGGAAGAATGAACTGTACTCTCCTCCTCCTTTGAGATTCACAGGGCACAGTATTTTCTAAAGATGCTGAGAAGTCTCACAGAAGTCTTTTAAACTGTTTTTCTCAGTGTTTCTTGGGTGGTTGTTTGGTTGGTTGGTTTTTTAACCATCTTCCCCTCCCCACTTACCCAGACTCCCTTACCC